TTATATGAATTTTTATAACGATCCGTATGTATTAGTTGTTTTTATAAGTCCTGTCAAGGCCAAACTATAATGAGATCCCGAAAACCTCCCCTCAACTTAACAAACCGTATTAAGCTTAACAAACTAACTGGACCACTAGTTGGAATTCTCTCCGCGTCTATGCTTTTGTTCGTTCAGTTAGCCTACTAATCCAGATGGAACTGGAAGTCAACCCATACGGACAGCATACCAACACGTATAATTCGAACAGAAAATGATGTTAGCATCAACATTTCAACTAGATCGATTGTTTGACTATCTCTGGGCACAAAAGAACCAAACTGAGCATAAGTTAAGCTTCTAAGCAACGGTCAGTGCTTTGCATCTTACAAGTTTGAAACCCCAGGTATTTGCCAGCTCATTGGTTTATGTTTCGCACATGCGTCTTGTAGGAAGTAGTGTCCTACAATTCAATCTGTCAGTCCCAAGTTAATCTCTGCCCTGGTGCTTGTTTCTTGAAATTGATCTCCAAATGTGATTTCTGCATTTGACAAGTTCACTGCATCTGTAGTACCGCACTGTCATGATATCGCCACGGGTCTGTGCCGAATCACCCCTGTTCGTTATTGTACTTTTGCCCACAGCGAACAGGTCAAGGGAACTAATAAAAGCGATGCTTAAGACCCCACTGGAAGTAATCATTTCAAACCTCACACAGACTCGACCAAACACACGACTATGAGAGTAACAACACGAACTCATACACTAGTGAAATTACCATCTGTTGCTAATACCACAATAATAGTTGATACTGTAGAACATTAGGTGAACATCGGCAGGTGACTTGGCAAATGCATGACCCTCGAAGTGCTAGAAATAAGGGACAAACACTTGGAACTGCTTAATTTTACTCAACGTTCTAATGCCTGATAGTGGCTTAGTAAAAACTAGGGAACGATTAATCCCGTACGGTAAGAGTAAGTATAGATTCAGCACACGTTGCGCAAAACGTACCACAGATACCCTGGAGGACATCGGTGGGACAATCCTCTAAAACTCGAGTCCGACACGTCAAACCATGGGCATAAGAGATGTTGTAATAAGATCAAAAAACACCCAAGAGCCAACCAGAATAGTAGCTTACGAAGTGCCCGGGCTAGTATGTGGTGGTCACAATGGAGAATACTGACATGATAGGCGATAGTGGTTGCGGTTTTCACATGGCCTAGGATCTCACATCATCATAATATTAAGCATGTTCGGACTACCTTGTCCGTCACATCTTGCGACCATTTAGTCTACTCGTTTCATAGCTGTTAACTTCAGAAAGCTAGAGGATTTAATTGAGGCCCTTCAGGTGCACTATTGTGAGATAAGATGGTGATTGGAGGTAGTCGACAGGAAACCCTAGACCCGATCTGCACTAAGAAGGACTAGAAACGCATGACATTGATCAGCACCCAGTGATCAATCAATTGTGATTACATCTCTGTCTTAGAGGAGCTCGGTCGCGGCTCGGATAGCTCACTGGTAACGTCTCTGACTGTGAAGCTGGGTGACATGAGATCGAATCCGCCAGGGAGCACCAGTTCCCTCAAGATTACAGGTACACCTTGCTGACGAGTGTCAAGTAGCGCGAAACCCAGATACAGGGTTTCCTGTCGACTACTTCCAACCACCATCCAAACTGATCAGTCTCCTTTCTTATGTGAACCCTTAGTAGATTGCCTCAATACTGCAATTCGGTGACAAATATTTAGCAAAGTTGTGTGGTAGCTAACAGTGGAATCCAGAATGTGTGTCTCTTCCGACTTGAGAATCACAAGCTGGCGTGTTTACATCCCAGCCTTGATATTCACAACGGAACTCAAATCTATGAATTGCGCTAAAAGCATACAATACATTATCCATTGAGCTGTTCAATCCAAACCGCCAGTAATGTGTTATTATCATCGCCAATAACATTTGTACAAACAACTGCCTGTTATTTTCTTATGTTAGTACTCTATCACTTAAAATAATGAGAGCTGTAAAGATTCTTGGATTTTTCAGGCAGGCTGTTAACTGATCAGTTTTAGATGACCAAAAAAGTTAGTTATTAGTTTTATGTTTAAGTGTTGCACTATGGGTTCAGTTTTTATGACCGTTTATAATGATCACATCGCGTCCACGTTGCACACCAGGTTCAAGATCGGCATTGTTTTGGGAATGCTGGTCGTGCCAAGTATTTGTGCAATACAACTCTTTAGGGTGTTTATAATTATTGTTGAAAAAAGAGAAACAAAAGAGCAGCAGGGCATTTGGATATAAACCCTAAACAGTGATGGACATTTTATAGTGGAACAGATTAAGATATGATAAATTGGTAGGTTAAGTTCATACTAAAACCTAGAGTGAAATGTGGATATGGTCTTTAGATAAGAGAATACACCAATAAATGACAGTGAACTGTGATATGCAACAAAGTGAAATGGATTGAAATGGTTGAAGGGGACTGTTGTGTCAGTCATTATTTTAAGCCCATAATATATCTTATTCTAGTTTTTGGGCAAACCAATCTATTCATTCTACATGAGTCATATTTTACCTTGTCAATTATTCGCTTATCAGTCTTGACTGTTTTTATATGAGCATATATCTGTGTACACTTCATATCCTATGTCTCATCACATGTCTGTAGTTTATTTTGTCTGCCTATAAATATTGAGTAACGCCTGGCTAAAAAGGAGTTGGCTTACCAGCCACCTCCCCTGCGTCTCATTTTGCTTTGTTCTACTACATTCACTTTACAAACAAAATATATGTATTCAAAGGCCATTCTCGTTAGCTGAGTTATCTAACTTCCGTTATTGATTAACGTGATTTAAGTCGATGGTTGTATACGAGAATAGGCGACATATATATTTCAACAACAATCATCATTACGATCTAATTGGAGTCAGATCCACGGGCCACTAAAAGAGTCGAAGTTAGACTAAGAAAAGCTGTCCATCACAATTGGAAATGCATCACGAGTGTAAAGTGTTAAGGAAAGCTGATAACTATGTCACTTATTGTTTGGTTTTTTCTTTTCTTTTCCTTTCATCCGATGCCAGGCGATAGGTAATAATGTAAGAGTCTGGGTCAGGATGTTGTATATCATCTTAGCAGAATAGCGAATCCAACATAACATTGAGGACATAAGTCTAGATACTGAGCGTAGGACAATATCCTCAGTTTAAATGAACGTTGCCTAATCCTAAATCATAATGTGCGTGAAACAAACAAAATGTTCTGTCCCACACTCATGTGTAGATTGAAGTCATAGTTCTCAACATCAATGCTTGCTGGTCGGTAACTAATATTCATCCACTTCGCCAATCCCATTGATGGAGTACAGCTTATACTTCTCATAACGAAAATTGAAGACTGGTTTTACTGAAACACCTATATCTTGGAGAGAACAGGACACATCGTACCAAGGTAAATGGAGTGCATGAGAGTTGGAAATGCTTTAACATCACAAGTTTCACATGAGCATGTCAGACTACAGCTACGACTTAGACAACCCTCCACAAGAAGTCATCAATTTGCAAAAGATATAGGAGCGTTGGAACCCTACGATTTAAAGTCTTACTCCAATTGCGACAAAACTGCCTTTCGAGCAAATCTTGCACTGTTAACATTGAAGCTTATTTTTGCCAGTTTGACGGAAAAACGTTCTAAATAATCTTCAACAGTTTTATTCATCTCCATTTAGAGTACTTAATCATAGTGTTTCCACCCTCACTCCAAAAGGATAAGGACACTCTGGAACGTATCCAATGGTGAGTCACGAAGTCAGTTCGAGGACTCTGATTCAAGCGTTATGAAGAGCACCTTCAATCACTGACCCCTTACCCATTAGAGTACAGGAGTCCTAGAGGTGACCTTATGTCTTATAGCATCCTAAATTCTTCTGGAATCCTCTCAAACATTTACTTAAGCTAGGTTCAAACATAAACCTAAGGAGTAACACCCAGAACCTGTTGACACAACAGAGCAGAACGGATTGCAGACCAAACTTCTACTCCTTAAGAATACTCAAATGCTGGAATTCACTGCCGGATAAGTTCGTCTAAGCGAATTCCGAGGAGTCATTTGGGAGAAAACTTGACACATTCAGAGGACGCTTTCTGAAATTAAAAGATATACAAATTAATGCAGTTTATTGGCTAGACCAGCACTCACAAGGGATTATCAAAAATCTGAGGTTATAAATAAACAACAAGAAGCGTGTTTTACAGAGACCAAATGGTTCATCCAAGCTCGATACATATATAAGGGCTATATTCCTACTAATCTATTCATATATATGCTTTTGGTAATCTCTGTTATTATGATTATTTAAGTCACCAGTTCTTACTACTCCATATTGTATCATACTTTACTGCTACACTTTAATGTGGATACGGTTGTAGGTAGCCAAAGCAAAACAACAAACTGAGATGGATTTATACAACTGAGCTGAAACCTTTTTTGACGTTGACTGTAGTCTCATATTAAAAAACTACTGTTATGAACTTTATTCAGAAAAGATTCAAACTTCCACTGGCCTAAGACAAGTTATCAATTAGCGAAAGTGTGTAGCGTGGTGTCGAGTCGTGATTGACTATGAACACCGCTACAAAGGATCGCGTGTCAAATAAATCCATAAAATCCCACGGAAGCCAAATATCAGAAGGCAGTTAATGGACCAAGTCGAGGTATATTTGCTAGCGATCTCGTGGTATCGAAAGGATACCGAGATCGTGCCAGGATACAAGCTTGGTTACAGAACGTAACCGAATTCGCGCGAAGTCACAATCAAAGTGTGAGAATAATGGATGCTTTTTAGCACAGCTAAACAAAAGCACATTATAACAGTCACTGGTACAACTGGTACAATAATAATTGTTTTCAATAAACCAATCGTGTTCTCTAGATAAAGGTGAGTCATTGCAAGTGTTTTACTTACTCAGATAAGATTGAAATTCTCTCTAGTCATTTACAATCTCAAGGACATGAAGTTTATGTCGTTTCTCGTTAAAGGCAAGTGATTCCCCAATATCACCTCTTACTATTTCAGGAATTCGCAGTGTAACAAGAAAAACACCGATTACTGAGTGTTTATTTGTAGGTGGGACTTTCCTTCTTCCGTATGCTGTATATTCAAAGAGAGAACTTTTAAGTAAAAGACTATTTGTACATGCTGCGTGCGCTACTAGATTTGCTCCTCAAGGATCTGTAAATTTATTATTTCTTCAATATACCGTTACATAGGTTGTTAGTGAGACTAAGTCACATGCTCTATTCCTGACCATTCACTTGGATCCCCAGGCATCACCGCAAGAATGTTTGAAGTCTATCGGACAAATCAAGGTATTGTAATGTTCTCCACATTTTTCTGACGTTTATATGTAATGACAGTGATACATACACTCATGAAGTTCGTAGGTAGTCGGATATGATTTGTTGAATTTTTTAGTATTTTTAACGGATCATGACATATTCGCGGACACATTACATACTTATTCATATTAATATGTTTCATCAACGAAAATAACAATATAGGATTGATTTTTTGACTAAGAAAACATCTATTTTTTGCCATCAAGCTCCAAAGCTCTACAAACTAAAGGCTAATAAAATATGTTGTTCAGTGGTTTCTAATGTATGTATTCCTGTTTTTCTCCTATCTTCGGTAATAAAATGTTGATTGTAAATCTGTGATGTTTACGTATTATATATAACATTGTCCATTTATACGACTCAATCCTTGTGATTAAGTTAGAGGTAAATATCTGATCTTATAATTTCATATATAGACTTTGGAAAAAGGCCTTAACGTCTAACCCAGATAAGGACTTATGAAAAAGTGTTAGCGACTCTTTCGATGCATTGGTCGTTTCCTATGTGTTGGAATAATAGATAATGGTAACATCCTCATTGGGTCTGTGGTTTTGTAACACAAACTCGTAAACACATCCATTTCTCTATGGAAAGAGTGGTGCTTTTTCCACCATACTCCTAATGAGTTAACATTTGTAAAATGTGTTGTCCTCTTATTCATATTAAGTTCTTTCTGCATGATGCAATCTTCCGAACTTTTCGTATCTAAATTTAGCTACTGGAATGTTATTTCTGTGTAATATGTAATCTTATCGTAAGTAGGATAGGGAAATTGGTAAGGGAATTCTCGCCTAACAAAGTTGTATGGTCAGTAAGATCTTTGAGTTTAGACATATTATGATTGAAAACTATAATGTTGCCATCCTACTTAAATTTTACTGACTATATTTATCTCGGGAAATAATAACATTGTTTATTTGCTTTTTACTAATATTGAATGATGATAATCTCTGTAGTTCTGTTCAACTAAGTTTAAAATACTCTGATAAATTAATAACGGATTATTATTAGCAATAAATAATACCTGATTGGTATTTTGAATAATCTCATAGATATATTTGATTTAGTGTTTTTGTTTTCATATTGTTACATCTTTATAAAGACGTGATCGTCAATTATAAAAATACTTGTTCATGATGTATTTTAACAAACGGTTACAATATCATGTTCTACAGCTGAAAGTATTAATAGTGCGTTACATTTGAGGTGATTTCTGTTATTTTTGAGATTGTTATTTGATGGACAAGGAATTTCGTGTCAGAACCAAATAGTCTATATGAGATATTTCTCATCAGATATTCCTGAAAACGTTTTCGCTTCCAAATGTGTAATTTGCCTGAAAAATTGCTTCGACGTAATTGTAGGCAAATTCTTATTTTCGTAACTTTTTGTTCGTCAATTTGATTGCAGTTATCAGTTATTTATTGAATGTTATTTACTTGTAGTTGTATAAAGTCTACTGTAATGTAACAGACAGCAAATTTTGGTGCATTCACAATCTTGCTATTGCTTGAAAGCACTTCTCTAGTTTGGTCTTGATAGCTTCCTTCGACAATTGATTTACTTGCCTAGTTTTTGAGCCTTTATTTTTATTGTACACTTAAGTAAATACTTTTATTGAATTGATTGTGGACGGTTTGCGAACATTCTTTAAATATGTCGTGAACTATCTGAAGTGTTCTCGATATCAAGTAAAAATTCAAACGTCCTTTAGGTTTAGACTACTACAGTTCCTTAAATAAGCTACTGACATAAAACTTAATGAATAACATTCATATAGAAAATCTTTCGACTTTTATATTACTAGGAAAGATTGAAACCTATAGACTGATATCATTGTATGATCTTACTTCCTCCTGTTACCCCGATGGAGAAACATAGGCCAACCTTCAGTATTCTCCATCTAATTCTGTCCTCGACAATCCTTTCTGGTTGCTATTCATCTTTCTCATGTCTTCTTCCAGTTTCCAACGTAGTGCGTTCTTCGGACTTCCTCTTCCTTTTCCATCCAGAATTTCACGTTAGAGCTTGCCTCATGATGCAGTTTGGTGATTTTCTCAATGTGTGTCTTATCCTAATTTACTCTTCAGCTGGAAGCTGGTTTATCTTCTCTCACAGTAGTGTGTTGCTGATTATTTTCGGCCAACAGGCATTGAGTATCTTGCATAGACAACTGTTTATAAGTACTTGTACCTTTTTGATGATGTTTGTGGTAGTTCTCCAACTTTCAGCTCCGTACAGTAGAACTCCAATCATATTACTTTGTATAAGCTTCTTCGTCATGTCTTTTCGTATCATATTGTTTATGTTCAGCCTCTTTTGTTATCATTACAAACAGATTATTTTAATTTCTTTCTCATTCATCTTGTTAAGTCACTCTCTTTGTGCTGATATGGCATGTAAATTTGGGCCGACGCATGTTCGTAACAGGCTCTGCGTTAATTATGTTTGAATCAATGACATTTACCTCTAATTAAGTTGGTTTTACACTTTAAATATATTATCCATACATTTGTTCATTAATTCTAGAAATATGTTGATGCAATTTGTCCACCTGACTCACGAAGTGAAGAAGATGAGATTCTATACGGTGTTGGCTTTGGATTTGAATTTCTACAAAAAATTAACCCTAATTATCAGTCTAGAGGAATTAATAATTACGAATACCGTGAACGGTCAGGAAACCTTGGTAAATTACCTAAAACAGGTAAACTCAGCTTCATTTGTCGGTTTGTCACTTGCTTTTTTATAGTAAGCAATAATTTATAACCTGACAAACGAATGGTTGAGCAGGTTCGTGGAGTTTTTTCCGAATATGATTCTCTGCTTACTTCAGGGAATCATTTTCATCTAGTGGTATTTATATGCAATTTTAGAACTTTGTAATTTTAAGATTGATTAAAAGTATTATTAAACAGTCATTCTATTACATCAGCCCTTGTGGTCTGTTGGGTGACGAAATCTCAGCACGGATACAGGAAGCTCGACTAACTGTTGCCAAATTGCGTCATTTATGGCGTAGGCGAGATATCCGTCTACTAACCAAAGGACGTGTTTACTGCTCAGCAGTTCGTTCCATCCTACTTTCTGGCTGTGAAACATGGCCGGTAAGAGTAGAGGATATTCGTAGGTTACTAGTATTGGGTGATAGGTGTCTGCGAAGCATTGCTCGTATATCGTGGTACTATCGAGTAGGTAATGGAGTTGTTAGGGAATAGTTACTACTAGGCAAGGATGGGAAATCAATTGATGAAGTGATGAAATTTGATTAGTTGAGATGGTTGGGACATGTGTTACGTATGCTGAAACACTGACTGCTGCGACGAGCGATGTTTAATGGCGTAGGAGAGTAGGTTTGAAGAAAGGTAGGAGCGGCCAGACGAAAACATGGCACAACTGCATAAAGTCACAGACAAGTGGACTGAGCCATGTTAGTAGATGCAAACTACCTGGTTGGGATCTGTGAGACGATAGTAACCGATGGTTGGAGACCTTGAATCGTTTGCAATGGCGTAAGTGCATACACTCTTTATGTTCTTTCAAATTCTAATCTTGCGAATTCTTCATGTCCCTAGATTATACTCTTTGAATAACATCACCAAACCCTGATCTTTCCGATTACTGCTTATACTTTTACTACCTCTACGACTATGGGATTTGGAATGAGAATTGTATCTGTATGCTAATGTCTTATGGCAATTTGAACAGATGTATGTACGTACGAAGTTCCACGTTGTTACTGAATGATTATTACATAATACTTTTAACACTTATGAGATTTTATACATTAATTTATCTTTTATAAATTACATAAGACCAAGTAATCAATGATATAACTAAACTCGATCATTTATTCACTACTATATACATGGATAATTTTATCCTCAATGTATTCCTGATAGTCATTTTATATTATTTAATAACCTAACATATCTGGTTAATCATCCATTTAACGTATTACTTATTCGGCCTATGCTCCATTGGAGGGGGGGGGAACAGGCGTAAGTAAGTAAGTTTTACTTACTGTTTTCATATATCAAGTATTCAAAAAACCGACTTATGTAATAATTATCTCGATGAAATGAAGCTTAATGAACGGTTTCAGTAGGCATATAACAGTTTAATGTATCTTACAACTAGTAACTGGGTAACAAAATTGAATCGTAGTTTATATAGTATCAAACAGATAATCAGTTGTTAGCTAAATAAGTTGATTACAGATTATTATTGTTTTAATAAATTTCATAGATGGAGATATATTTATTCATGCTAAATGTCATGAATATGGTAAATTGTTTGAATTGACACAAGCTATTATCAACAATTTACCAAATGGATCTGTAATCAAATTTGAAGATATCTACGGATGGGTTTATCGTAATGGACGAGATTTGAGTGGTTTCATTGATGGTAAAATTATTCTATATTTTATTTCATATTGTATATTTCTATCTTTATTATTATATTCGTAATGAGATTAATATTTACAATTGAATGTGATTTAACTGTGAAATAAAACTTGAAAAGTAGTTCTCATTCCTAATCTAAATTGTAGAACAAAGATTCAACGGTTATACTTTTACAAAGTATGTATTATAATTTGTTTATTTAGTTTAAACGTCAGATCTCCACCTTCCTCTTATTAATTTTAAGAATACACTCATTATTACATGAAAGATAAAAGTAGAACTCCTGTTTGAAAGGCCATGTATGTCTGGGTTTTTTTTCATCGCGTTTTGAGTGGCACAGTAAACTTTCTACATTATTAGTTATACCAAGGTATTTGGGTTTAGCTCAACAAGGCTCTGTATTGTTAGTTATATTTCATAACACCTTACGCCATTAAGATACCATGGTCGTTAGGACCATATTCACGGAGTGGTGGTGATGGACGAGCAGCTGCTAGTTGCATATGTCTGTCTTCAATATTACAGCGCCGTATCATAAACTGGTTACCTCTTTAATTATTCCATCCCGTACCGCTGTCGGCAAATAATACTTGATGTATAGGTCGTTGAGATGACATTTATAAAACATGCCGATACTATCTAATTATTTTATTATTATTTATTTCAACACATAAATATTGGTACAAGAGGGCACCAAATATATATGCGCCACATCATATTTGTATGTGTGTGGGCTGTGATACTGCCCGGGTGCCCAGACCGAAGCAGGTGGTTTTCTTAGGGGACCACACCCCTAGCTTTTGACCTAAAGGTCTGATCCACAAGGCAGTGGAGCATCGTGAGGAGATGCATTCCCATGGTTGCCGGTGACCAACGATTGGTTCATACGCCATTTGTTCCCGCAGGATACTGGAGCACATGTGCACCATTGGTTTGGGATCCGGTTAAAGAGTCGGACATTCTCTTTTCGTTCTCTCATTTTCGTGAACAACACCCCCACCACGAGAAGGCAGTGAGTAGGACTCCCCTGGCAGTAGCTGTATACGCGTGGCTGTGTGAGGATATTTCAGGAGGGAAAGCTAACTCTCCCCACCTTCGGCCGTACTGGGGCATTCGCGAGCTTCACAGGTAAAACACAGAACTCTCCTCAACTGTTTGATGTTTACCCGGTATTTAATTCAATCAAAATTAATCGGATTTTAAGTAAATAACCAGTAGCCATTGTCCTTATACAGTATACCATCACTAAACTTCTTAAAACCAACATCTCCAACGTTTATTTTATTTAATAATAAGGCACAGAGAATCCGGCAGATCCTGATGAACGAGCTGAAGTGGCGATCAATACAAAGACCGGTGGAAGTTACGCTGTTGTTCAAAAATGGGTTCACAATATGGATATGATTCGGACAACAAAAGGTAAAGTATAATATGAATTCATTATATTTCGTGGTTTCTCATCAGTCGCCTACAATCATATATGTATTGAATGTCAACATTAAAGTAATATATCGAGTGAAACGATTGACATATGAATGAAAAGAATTGAAACGACTAAGGTTATCAATAATAAGTATATGTATATATGTGCAAGAACAGGCCGGAGGTCATTTGGTGTTAGAATCTAAAACAAGCATAAGGGATGGTTTATGCATTAATCAAGTGAGGTTTATATATGATTCCTGGAATTAAAAAAATAATCGATACAATGTGTTACGTAAACTCTGTGAGTATGGGAAATACTATATCTTTTCTACTTCAAGGACTATCGTCCTTAATGTTTTGACTTAGATAACTCCAGAGAGATTGTTGACACCATAAGTTAGTTTTGGCTAGATAAACGTTTTGAAACCCTAAAACTAATTTATCACTGAATTTTTTTTTGCGGTTTTTAATGTTTCACCCGTTCAAATCCGCAATACTCTCCTAATAGTCGAATCCAATAGTTTCGAAATAAGTTCGTTACCTTAAAACAATCAGTGATTCACATTTCCTACTTTAGTCAAATTTTTGTATTATGCAATCATTTCTCTTTACTATAGAGTAATATCAATCTTCACTGTTGACTTTACCTTTTGGATTCTCATCATCTGCTTACAACTGTAGTCAATATACGATTAGGTGATAGAAATTAAATGAGTGAAAAAATTGTAGTGACAATAAGTATCAGTACTACATATGCATATATATAAGTGAATAAACACGTCCACAGTCAATCGAAGATAGATACAGAGGATATGAAGTTGAATATGGAAGTAATTGTGTTCATGCCAAACTATATACATTGAAAGAACAATGAGAAGTATGTATATTTTTATTTCCATATTCCAAAGAGTTTGAAAAGGATAGTTGCCACAGTCTTAAACAGTCCAGTAAGTTATCTTCTAGTCAACACCTAGCGTATCATTGATATTCATCAATTATTCAAAATAATTACTAGTTAAGACGATACAACACCTTTATACTCCTCTTAAACAGTAATGTTAAGTACAGGGAGGCACCAAATACATATGCGCCACACAGATCTAATTTTATATGTGTGAGGGCTGTGATACTGCCCGGGTGCCCAAACCGAAGCATGTGGTTTTCTTAGGGGACCACACTCCTAGCCTTTGACCCAAAGGTCTGATCCACAAGGCAGTGGAGCATCGTGAGGAGATGCATTCCCATGGTTGCCGGTGACCAACGATTGGTTCATACGCCATTTGTTCCCGCAGGATACTGGAGCCCATGTGCACCATTGGTTTGGAACCCGGTTAAAGCGCCGGATCTTCGCTTTTCTTCCTCTCATTTTCGTAAACAACACCCCCACCACGAGAAGGCAGTGAGTAGGACTTCTCTGGCAGAGGCTGTATAGGCGTGGCTGTGTGAGAGCATTTCGAGAGGGAGGGCGAGCGGGCCCACCACACTCTCGGCCATACCAGGGCATTTGGGGAACTTTTACATTACTTAAAGCGACATTTCTCAGTCTAATTCATAATTTGGAGATTGTAATAATTTAATAATTAAATTCATGAGTCAATTGAAGCTAGAACATCATGAAAAACCTGAAAGCACTGGATAGCCGCTTCATTCATCGTTTGATGTCGAATCAGTTGTCTAGGACCAATGGGTCCTGGGTTCGAATCTCACAGGACAGGATCACGGATACACACTGTCCAGTGTTTCCAGTTTTTTCATTGTGGTCTATCTTCAATTGACTCATGAATTCAATTATTAAAATTACTATCCTCTCCAAAAAAACCCCTCTCTGTTTAAAATCTTTTATTATCATTATTGTATTTTCAGTTTTGTTATGCAATCTTCACTTAGATTAATTTTAGTTCACACATGATTTTGACTCATTTAGTTCATAAACTATTACAAACTTTTCACTAATTAAGTATTACGCAATCAATCTTATCAGTTTATAAATCTTTGATCATTATGACCTCTTTTAACTTATAGTTTCAATGTATCTATTTCAAATTAATCTTACATAATCTAATTCACACTTTTTTTTCGATTTCTCCATCATTATTGTGTAATTTTCACAGTTAAATTCACGAATCGATCTAACTTAGATCACTATTGAACATCTGGAAGTACTGGATGATTGTTTCATTCTAATATGGAACTCTTTATCAGTGCCCATCCGTGATTGCACACTTACGACTCGAACTAGAACTAACTTTCGGTCTTGCACATGAATGCTTCACTTCTAGACCACTGAACTGCCATCCGACGGTAAGATAAAACAACCATCCAGTACTTCCATGTTTTCAATGATGATCTAGCTGAAATCAATTCATGAATTCAATTGTGAAGATGATACAATCTCCACAAATCGCTATACTGATATTATGGGATTCTTTCATTTTATGATGTATTTTAATATGAATATGATTATCAGCAGTTGAGGAGAAACTAAAGAATGAAAAATGTATTTATAATATTCAATGTCAGTTGTCTTGTTTATTTTATCCTTGTTAGTAGTTTGGTAAATCTTTTCTCGATGTATGATTCGTAATATTTTTTTAAATAATGACCCATAGTGTAGGCGATCTGTAGGTTTCATATATTTGACTTCTTTTTTTATTTATAAATTTGATGGTAAAGTCAAGTCAACATTTGACTTACTTACTTACTTACGCCTGTTACCTGGTGGAGGAGCATAGGTTGCCGACCAGCATTCTCCAACACTGTTCTGGGCCTTCCTTCGTAGTTGTATCTAGCTGTTGTTCATTCTCCTTATGTCTGTCTCCGTTTCTCGGTGTAATGTCTCATTTGGTCTTCCTCTTCTCCTTTGGCATTGAGGATTCCAAGTAAGAACTTGCCTTGTGACGCACTTGGGTGCTTTCCTCAATATTTTTCCTATTCACTTCCAGCGCTTCTTCCTGATTTCTTTCTCCGCTGGAACCTGATTTGTTCTCTCCCACAGTAGGTTGTTGCTGTTAGTGTCTAGTCAACATATCAGAGGTATTTTGCGAAGAAAATTGTTAATGAACACTTGTATCTTCTGGATGATGGCTTTCGTCGTTCTTCAAGTTTCCGCCTTATACAATAGAACTTTCTTAACATTTGTACTGAAAATCTCGACTGTGGTGTTGGCTGACATTTGTTTTGAGTTCGAGTTATTCTTCACTTGTAGATATGCTGTAGTCAACAATTTAGACAGAATAAATTGAATTCATTTGCATTTCGTGTCTTTTTTCTTCAACCATCATATTAATGTGTTACACCACCTGAATTTCTTCTTCGTTTTCTTCTTCTTATTATTATCATTATTACTACTATTATCATTTCATTGTGTTTATTCTGTTATGAAATCTTTTCTAAGACAATTGTCATTTCATCGATCCTAAAATAATCTTCCCATTTATCTGTTTTTTTTCACTTTCCTGTTTATTAACATTTATATAAAATATTTTAACCTCTTAGAGTCTTCTGACTACCGTAAGCAACAATGCAAACATTTTCGGGATGCGATTCTCTCCTTCGAAATGTAAAATGTTGCTCCAGGATTGTGTTGCATCGGCATCTGAACTAATGATAGGGGGTGAAGTAGTCGGGCGTGTCGACCGACTCATTTACCTTGAGAGATTCATCAGCCCTTGTGGTCTGTTGGGTGACGAAATCTCAGCACGGATACAGGAAGCTCGACTAACTGTTGCCAAATTGCGTCATTTATGGCGTAGGCGAGATATCCGTCTACTAACCAAAGGACGTGTTTACTGCTCAGCAGTTCGTTCCATCCTACTTTCTGGCTGTGAAACATGGCCGGTAAGAGTAGAGGATATTCGTAGGTTACTAGTATTTGGTGATAGGTGTCTGCGAAGCATTGCTCGTATATCATGGTACTATCGAGTAGGTAATGGAGTTGTTAGGGAATAGTTACTACTAGGCAAGGATGGGAAATCAATTGATGAAGTGATGAAATTTGATTAGTTGAGATGGTTGGGACATGTGTTACGTATGCTGAAACACTGACTGCTGCGACGAGCGATGTTTAATGGCGTAGGAGAGTAGGTTTGAAGAAAGGTAGGAGCGGCCAGACGAAAACATGGCACAACTGCATAAAGTCACAGACAAGTGGACTGAGCCATGTTAGTAGATGCAAACTACCTGGTTGGGATCTGTGAGACGATAGTAACCGATGGTTGGAGACCTTGAATCGTTTGCAATGGCGTAAGTGCATACACTCTTTATGTTCTTTCAAATTCTAATCTTGCGAACTCTTCATGTCCCTAGATTATACTCTTTGAATAACATCACCAAACCCTGATCTTTCCGATTACTGCTTATAGTTTTACTACCTCTACGACTATGGGATTTAAATCGACAATTGTATCTGTATGCTAATGTCTTATGGCAATTTGAACAGATGTATGTACGTACGAAGTTCCACGTTGTTGCTGACTGGTAATGATTATTGTTTCTAATTTCTTTCATCACCAATATGTATTATTATATATTTTGTGATAATTCAATGTATCACAATTTAATAGGAATACATTTGTAAACGTTTGAAAAGTCACGAAATACAAATTTCAATTCTATGTCAATTTAGTAACGTGACTTTATTAACGAATTCATTCTCTTCTTCCAACCGTTTTCACAGATCAATCAATCTAACTAGTAACATTCTATATATTTTCATTGTTGTTGTTGTTGTTGTGGTGGTGATAGTGATGGTCTTGGATACCTAACTACATATATTTTGACTATATTAAAACAATTTCTATCTATAATAAACATAGAAATTATTGCAATATTATTACAAGCAAATCACATTAACATGTGATTTGTTCAATTATACAATTAAGTAATCTTCACAGATTGAAATCATGAATCAGTTGAAGCTAGACCACCATTGAAAACCTGGAAGCACTGGACGGCCGTTTCGTCCTCAGCAGTGCGCATCCACGATCCCGCATCCCGTGCTTCCAGGTTTTCAATGGTGGTCTAGCTTCAACTGACTCATAATTTCGATCTGTGAAAATTTCTAAAATCTCCACAAACCCTTTCTGATAATAATGAAGTAATCGACAATTTTATCATTGTTATTGTGTTGAAAATGTAATCATATTGATTTTCATGAAGTTGCATCACATTTTTAACATATTGTAAACATGATTAATTGTCTTCTGTAATATGATTGCGTAACCAATTAGCTTGAGAGAGAGAGAGAGTTGTATTGACTCTGTAGTTGAACTGTTTGATTTATAGATTATCATTCAATGAATGTAATCAGTTTCAATTTGGAAAGGATAAGAGGCTTGATGGTCTGTTTTTAAAAGTATGGAACATAGTACAGATATTTCATTTCGATTCGAAACTGTACACTGATAGGGATCAATATAACACTATTGCAAATTTGAGTTTGATATTCATGTTCCCGACCGTTGTTGCTACTTTGACGTGGTGATTGGGCTTGCCTATCGTGATGAATTGACCGAGCTATACTGGCTGGAACAATCGTTCATCAAGGTTTTACCATTTCAGACAGGTCGGCTGAAGAGTGATAAGACTAATAGCAGCAAACCCAAGGTCCGAAGGCGAAATCTTACTAATGGCTGTACATAGGAGTGACAGCAGTAAGGTGTTTCCTTCAGACAACCAGCATGACAGCGATGCTGCCTTCCCACAAGGAGGGGTGGGGTTAGAAAAGGTCGACCCTAAAAATACACACCTCGCCTTATCCCACGGATATCCGTCTCCGGTGGTAAGGTCTCAACAAGTACTGAGCTAACACAAAAATTAGCCATAAAAAGGTCGTGTGTGACCGACCTCAAGCAGTTGTCCTTTGGGCACTGCGGTCACACTCTCAGGTCACTAAGGCCACCTCTAATCCAATTTCCTTTTCAGGCAACTCCAGAAGAATCCTTTCACGGCTTGGGCAACCGGGAAGTGATAACCGCCCTCATGTTCTGTATGTCATTCCGTTGCTGAATATGTTATCCTTAGTACTAGGCAAAGATGGCATATCGGTTGATGGAGCTGCAAATTTTCACCAACTGAAGTGATTAGGAGATGTATAACGTAGCCCAGACCACCTTTTACGTCAATGCTCAACATTGGCCAGCATAGAATCAAGTTGAAAGAAAGCTGGAACGGCCAAACCCCATATGTGTTATCAGTTCATATGATGGTATGTTTGAGACTTTAACGGGTATAGACTAACTGGCTGGAGTTCATTTGTTAGTCATAATCAATTGTTGGAAACTTTGTTCGACGTGATTTAGAATTAGTCACATTGGTTCAGATGCACCATTGTCTACCGCGAGATCCTGAGTTTTGAGATTGTTTTTTCGCGAATCGTCACTTTCCTAAATGTTTCTTACCATAACTGATACCGCTACCTCTGCCAATCTTATGTTATGAGTTTCATTTCGCTGTTCTAATTTGCTGAGGTAACTCAAACTGTTTCACATGTATGCCAGGATCCTACGTTGTCTGTAACTGACTGACTATCCGTCCAATTTTGCGATAAATAGATTATTCTGCATTGCAATATGGCAACGACCAAAAAATCATTGTAAACTAAAATGCTACGAGTTATTCAGTAATTTAGGTCGCTTAACTCTGTACGATGTAAAAACTATTGAAGATCTATTCTATGTAACTTGGTTAACATAACCGAGTATATTATAGGTTTTCTTTCACAAAATGAGCAAATATTTCTACCAATACTCCATTTATCGCGATTGTTCCCTCACGATAGGCAACGTCATATAAATGCCACTTTTATTTGTTTACAGTAAAGAATTATGATTTTCAGATCTTCGACAGTTGGGAGTAGTGGTCATCTAAAAACCCTGGATTCATGTTTCTTGCCAGTTGGTGTTTATCCCTAAGATGTATATGCAGTCCTAAAGGGACACTAGCACTGGGATTCTAAATTGAATTGCTCAGCTGAAGTTCGAGATGTTACTATCGCTACTCAACCAAATACTGACTGTCAGTAGAACTAAGATATTTGAATTCATGAATTGATGAATAATGACCAACATGGTGTTCATCTAGTTCTTTGTCGTGATAGAATTCCATAGACCATATTTCAAACTGACACGGAATCCAATTCTTTCGTTTTTTCCCGACTTCCTTCAACTACCTGTTAGCAAAATACAGTGCACACAATGTCAAGCTACTTAAAACAGTTGGCTACATTACAACTTGATCGACGGGATTCAATCAGTCGTCGTATGAGCTAGACAAGCATGACACTGGTGAATACGCAAATAGTCAATGAATTTATCTCACTTGTAGAGGAGGTTAGTCACGTCCCAGTCATCAGTCAGTAAATAAGTCACACACAACGTTAGGATCTGGCGTACATGTATATAGGTTCAAGTTGCCACACCATATTAGAAGTAGTGACAGCATCAGAAGTTGTAGAAAAAGTCAGGTATAGACAAGTTAAAAAACATAAGATGATTTTGAAAATCACGATGTTAGAGAATATAAAGAGTGAATGAATCCACGTCATTGTGAATGATTTTGATCCCTGCCATTAAACGTCTCTCACCAAACTGGTAAATAGTAATCACGAATAGTCCCATCAGATAATTAGAACCTATCTACATGACTCGGTCTATTTGTCAATGCTTTTGTCGACCGATGCCCAGTGACCAATCAATCTTGTGATCTCACAATGATCCTGATACTAATTCACTTCCAAAATACGATGGTTCATCAACACGTATGTAACAGGTAAAAGTCTTATATGGGAATTACATTTTAGCAACAGTTATAAGTTTTAATTTATTTGATTTATAGATCACACCAAAGAAGGATGGATTGGTCGAACATTGAAAGATAGTATCGAGTTGAAGAATAAACCTATTACTTCTCATGTCGCCAGAATGGTTGGATGTAAGTAATATTATTTCTCTCTCAATTGGTTTATCTCTCAGGAAATAATTATATTCATTTACTTTATTGCTCTCACGTGGCCTCGCATATACAGCCACTGCCAGGGCATTCCTACTCACTGCCTTCTTGTGACGGGGCTGTTGTTTACGTGATTGACAGCACGAAAAGCGAATGTCCGGCGCTTCAACCGGGTTAGTGGACACGGAGAGTTTACCTTTGGGATTTGGAGAACGCTGATTCTAAACCAATGGTGCACATAGGCCCCAGTGTCCTGAGGGTACAATTTTCGTATGAACCAATTGTTGGTCACAGGCTATCATGGGACTTCATCTCTTGACGTTGCTCTAATGCCTTGTGGATCAGATCTTTATGTCGAAGTGTCCGGGTGTCCCCTCCTGAGAAAACCACGTGCTTCGGTTTGAGCATCCGTAGAGCATCATAGCCCACACTCAAATCAAGTGACTTGTGTGGAGCATATGTATTCGATGCACCTTTGTACCAATATTTATGTGTTCGATTGAATAAATAAATAACAAATTGAAATTATTCAAAGATTTGTTTAATTTTCAACAGATTCCAGACTGTAGGTAGTTCATATCATTTAACACTATAATATACCTATTTTTTATATCCTAGTTTTCAGGAATTTTGCAACTTCAGTTCCATCTGCTTGTATGTCTTTCTGTTGGCGTTATATCCCACAAGGTAGACGGCTCAATTGTAAACCTTTCGTTACTATTGTGAACACTTTCTTGAGCATCCAATTCGTGTAAATGTAGGCGAAACCAAATTCTGTAACTCCGAGAACACTATACCATCACAACTATTCATCTGAACTTCAAATCTTTCCCATCAATTACTATCATATTCGAAGCGTGGTTCTGTACTTTTACTTCAGCAGGGTGTATTTCATATTTTTTAAACTTAATAATATGGTCTTTGGTGTTTGTTTTTTCTTACAATAATTAGCTGCAGATTATGATGCTCCATCAAAGTACAAAATAGTTCGACAATCTCAACCATACGGAACTTTATCCGGCGATGCTGGTCTACTATTTATTGCATATGCAGCTGACACAAAAAATTTCGATTTCATGTTGGATCGAATGACTGGAGATAGTGAAGATCGAAAAAATGATGATGTAATGCGTTTTACCAAATGTGTCACTGGGAATTATTGGTATTTTCCTAGTGTACCAGAATTTGATCGTTTAGTTGGCGGTGGTCTATGGGGATTTTGGTGACAATAAAATCTAATATCTTATTTTATTTTTTTTGTAATGAGTGAACATATTTAAATGAAATATATAACCTAATTTCCACTTTGTTCATGATCTATTGAGATGTAGCGTAATTGCGTATGTAGGTGGCATAGTTCAGTTTAGTTTTTTAAAAAAACCGCTTACGTTATTTAGAATGCTCTAACCTCACTGAATAACAACAAAAAATAACTAGAATGTTTCCTATCGACTGATTTTTTCAATTTAACAGTGAGGTAACCGTCTTAAACAGTTCACTCACCTTGAAAGTCTCATCTCCCTTGATGAGCCTTGAGTTCCTCCCCTCCCCTTGAAACATTGTCTACACCTTATCTCTTCTACAACAACTAGGTTATACGTTGCCTTTGACTGGCTGAATGGTGGGCTCTATGTCGGAAATTTCTACTGTTCAACAGTCTTCGTATAGTTCTATTGCTGTGAAACATGAAAGCGATACGTAGTGTACAAGTTTTTCGTCATAGGTGATGGTAGACGCTTTTTAGAATTGCAAAGAAATGGTGGTTAAATTGGTCACACTACAGATTTTCATTAAATTAGGTATTCCGGGCATGTGCTATTTATACCTTGCATCTCTTGCCTCGTACATTTGATGATGACTAACATAGGGTCAAGTAGGGAGAAGTACAGAAATGAACGAGTCAGTGTTGACTACTAAACTTCGCAGTGTTGAGGTTCAGGCGATATTCATATTCTGTAAGGATATCTGGAGGACTTCGGTCAAAATTCGTTGAAGTGGTGTCTGTTGTTTCCATTATTTTCGGTAACTCGGGGTTTCGAACATCAGTGCACTTTAATCCCTATATTTTATTCATTCTACTCAAACTATGATTCTTAAGCATTGTTCTCTATCACTGATACTACTAGTAATTTGGCTTCTCTGTTGAACCAAGCTTTTTGTTTTACTTGGGTTTGGGATGCTCTACTCCTCTTCGAAAACAGTAGAAAACGTTCATAAGTTATTAAAACTCGATCAAAATATTGCTCTTTTGCGATGTCATTAAGCGACTAATCCCGATGGACGACATGCGGTAATAGACATAGATGGTAAAGAGGTTATTGGGATTCTGAGGGTCTTTCAACTCCGGTTGTGATTGCATTAGGTTTGAAGAGAGTTATTAACAGACAAATGTAAATGCGGCAACAATCCTTGAAATTAGTAAATGATGGTCTAAGATGTGCTGGTGAGTTTGATATACCTCGGGCGAAGTTTATGCATTTATCCCAATGTTAGTTTAAATGTATCAAAAACTACCGCAATGATGCAGATCCGCTTACTCTTTTTTCTCCTGTATCCCGAGTTTTAAATTGTTCTACACCTTTTATTCCATGAGTCCATTCTCTCTTCTTGAATAGTCTCTACGCTCAATTTTCTCTCACCACTGATATTATTGATACTTCTACTGTTATTCATGTTCAGAAATTCTGTCTTACTATTGTGGTATGATTTGACAACCTGGGTCAATGGACATATATTCCAGGCTCTACTTCACTCATGACTGAATGAGCTGTGGTTATATAAAGATAAACTTGAACTGGTGGACGTCCTTGGTCATTCTACTTGATTTTAAAACGGATTTTGACACGATAACAATACATTTGGATTAAAGGAACCAACTGTGCTGCCAATTGTCCTTTTTACAAAATTCTTTATTTATAAATCATAATACACAAACTTTATTTTCAAAAAAGAATCCGTCGTAAATTAATATTCTTATCTTGGAATTTTATTAGGAGATTATTTGAAAGTTTTATGATAGTAGTCAATAAACAGTAAAACTTTCCTTCTTCAAAACATATTACGCTTGAAGTAAGCTGATGGATCCTTGGTAGAATTCAATCATCACTAATTATCAACCAAATGCTTTCTATGTTGATGAGTGTTATCAGAGAATGAGTCCATCGTTTCCAAAGTTTTATAATTATGACAACAGTTTGAGATAATTAATACAGAATTCGATGAGTCATATTTCCAAGTTCGGTCAATTTACAAAATAATTTGAATATCATCCAATGGCTTCAGTGATGAATGACATACTATCAACCTGGTTGAATTCCACTTGCTATGACTTCTCACTAGAATGTATCACAAAAGTGATCTCATATCACGATGACTACCAAATATAAGTATTTACCACTCATTACAACTACAGAGATGTTGAATGTCAACCTATATCTCTGATGTTTCTGGATCGTGAGAGACAGGTTTCAGCCTAACTAGTGCAATCTCATAAGCCACAGTAGATAGCGCTTATGCTTTTATTTGGTCTTATAATCAGAGTTATGCGAATTGCCTCAGTTTTTTTACTTTTTTAAACTACAAAATCTGATTTTACTGTGCTGCTCTTAATGATTAGTAAGGTTGGCTAAAATGAGTTTAAACAAATATGATGTTTCTTTTAATTGGTCGATGTCATCTTACATATTATAAAGAGCTTTCCTAGTAGGATTATGAATACTCGGATCTAGCAAACTCCACATGGCTTATTACAAATAGTATGAGGCCGGATCTTTGATTCTTTTTCAACTAGTATCAATATTGTACATATAGTTATCATGGAGATGTTTAAAAAGATGGTATTCAGATAGACTGATTAAAAGTATTAATGCATATGCATCGACGTTGTCCACAGAAGTGTATTATTATGTAGATTTGAAAAAGCCGGAGACTGATCAATAGAAGATTGTTAGCAAAGCGATAAGATATAATCCCTTAAAGTACATGGAAACAGTAGATTTTGAAAGGTACTTTGCTTTGAATCTCCTACATGTTTTTGATGTTGACTCATTTTAATGACTGGTATGTTGTATTTTGATATAATTTTAAATCAGAGTTGTAACGGAAAGATTATGCAGAAAATTTTCCCAAAGTATTTTATTGAACAGTACTTTTGTTCTGACGAGCACCTCTCGTTTTATCGCTAGAAGTAACCAGACTAGTAGTGGATAGGTCTTTATTTGTGTAGTGAAACAGAACAAATGGATCTCAAGGTAATTTTCTTCAAATATACAAAGTTTTTCGACATCCAACACAAAATATTAGGAAATATAATGCCTACACAAAATAGGGAAGTGAGTGAATACTTGAGCTATAATATTTTGATATCGCTAAGATGTTTGCGGCCAACTCTTAACCAATCAACCTCATCCGTCGCATTAATTTTACCTACGATCGACATCCGTGAGAATGTCATTTCGATCAAGCTATCAGACGAGAACAAATCATTTCGTTTTCCTGGGTCCAAAGGATAATTACGAACTAATTCAATGTTTAACTTCCAATGGCGACAAACGCACAGTCAGCAGTCGGAGATACTCCGTCGATGCCGTTTACTGAATTTATCCTCTGTCTGAGGATCAGAGAACAAAACCCTCTGCATTTATATAGTGTCCTAGTTTCGGGGGGAAACTGACTAGAAAGTAGGAAAGCCTTTAATATAAAACAGTTGATTAGCTTTACCCGGTTCATGCCTTATAAATCACCACGATTATCATTACCACACATCAGCGACTAATTACTATCGTGCTTATTATCATCACAAATTTCACTCTTATTCTCTATATTTCCATACGCTGACATTGTGTGCACTACCAAAGAACAAATTGATTAACTGGTCAGAACTCAGTAGCGACGCGATGGCGTATAGCGTGGCGTCGGGTGGCGGTTGACTATGACCACCACTACAGGAAGAATACGTGGCAGTTAACCGGTAAGATCCCCCATAAGCCAAATATCAGAAGGCATTTGATGGTTGTAGTCGAGATGCATTTGTTGGCGATCTTGTAGTGGCATTGGACAATAGCCACACAATCCAAAAAGCTGTGAACACGAGACTACTCAGAAAATAGATATTCAATATTTAACGCCGAGAAATACCTAAGAATGGAGAAGGCACGAACAATGAATTGGGGGAATTAGAGTTGATCAAACGGCATGGCTCGGCCATGCAGGCGTGGTCCCTGCTGAATGTTATCTTATATCTCCTATTCATATTAAATATATTGTTCTTTCTCTAGCCTAACCTTGTTCTACATCATGTATTGGTAATTGATACGATACAGTGAGTTGGCGTAGTCGATGGTGTGCCTTCCACGTAAGATCTTATAGATTAGGCAGTTATATCATGACAAATCTACAAACTTAGGATTAGGTCTATTATTAGAGCAGCACTAATATCATATTAGACCATAGTTCTACATTGGTAAGCCCGACTAGAGTAACGCAACCTATTATTGTTAATCTTACTTGCATTCTAAATTTCTTGATCTATTTTGTATTTATGTTAACCCAATATTCTAACAATCCTGATTAATGCTCACATGTATTATCGTCATGTTATATTGATTAGTTCTCATGACATACTAGCTCAATCGATAATAAAAACTGGTCGTCTATATAAACTAATTAGCTTTGATGATTCGTTAAGAAGCTTTGATAACATTTACATGCTTCAGCGACATAGACTTGTTTAAACATCAAGCTCTAGCAAATATGATCTGTAAATAGCGTAAATATACATTGACTAACAATGCAATCAAGGATTGAATAGTTATCCAGATCTAATTCTTAGTGTTCCTTCACTTAACACCTCATCCTGTTTTAAACTATGCACTATCCTGTAATATCTTTTCTTCCGACCACTGCCTGCCTAATTTCATATTCTCGAGTTCCATTGCCAAACAACAAGGATGACACTTCTCTAAAAACATACGGTGAGTTCCAGCTATAAGTTTTCTGCAATCATAAGTTCATTTTAGATGGCTCATTCAATGGCACACATAGTAATCTGGATTCATTCGGTTGTTCTAGTCCGAGCGAGTGCCAAAAACGTCAACACCATCGAGCACCCTGGGATTAATTGCCATACTGCATGTTTTATTCTGTATACTTTTGGATCATTAGTACTCCTCACGAATGGCTTTATATATGTCGTCCACTGAATAATCTAATTTTCAAAAATAACCCA